AATATTCCTCCAGCGAACCATAATACATTCATATAATTCCACTCACATAACATCTTGAGCTGCCAGAATTATGCAGAAGGAAAACATTTTCCTGGTTGGCAGGGGTTAGGAGATTACATGGGAAAGAAAGTAAAGATGCCTACATGGGATATTGCTAGCGAGTGTGGTGCTGATGCAAAGTTTCTGCATACTGATTGTGATGAAGGTTATACAAGTTTTAAAATAGGATGGAAAAATATACATATATCTACTGTGCCAGCATCAGCTTCCTGGTTTTGATACAGTATTATAGGTATGTTGACATGTAGTCATTGAAGGAGGATGGATGAAGAACATCTCTGTATGATCTTACAACTTCCTATAAATTTACAATTATTTCAAATGTAAGAGTTAAAGAAAAAAACCTGCTTGATTTTCTTGGAAATTATCCCAGTATTACATTTTTGTTGTTCAATGTGAAATATTCACATATTAGATATGAACTGAAGCAAACTCATGGTATAGAAGTTAAAAATGCACCTTGCTGTATGCTGAGGTACATGCCTACTGTAATCCTAGCATTTTCAGAGGCTGAGACAGGAAAAATCACAAAGTCCAGCTCATGGTAACTTAAGAGATTTAGTGACACATTGTCTTGGGAGAAAAGGAGGGAGCTGGGGCTATAGCTCAGTTTGGAGATACTGAGTTGAATCTCTGATGGGGCGGGGTGCTTATTCCTCAAGGGAAAGTATTTTTTTTTCATGAAAAAGAAAAAAAAAAATGATAGAACCATTTTGTATTGCCCTGAACAATGATTCCCCACCTCACCCCTTGCAATGTGCATGCTTCCCTGTGGACACTGGTAAGCAGGGGGAAAGAACAATCACCCAACAGCTAGTATGTGCAGGGCCATGTGCAACCTCTTGTGTAGCTGTTTTTGGAATGAACTACCATTGAAGGGGCCTAAATAAACCATGAGTACATTTTAACGTGCTGGAATTTTTCTGTTTTTGTTTTCCCCTCAGTTAAACTCTTGTAGTCTTTATGTGTGGTATTCTACCAGGAAGCAGAGTTGGCCCAGGCTGTGGAGGCAGTGAGACTCTAAAAGCAGTTCAACGTCGTTATCTTGACAATGCAGATAAGACAGATAAGAAACAATACCTATCCTTGGCAACAGTAGAACTACTTAAAATGCTTCTACTGCTCATGGTGAAATATTTTCCTGGGTTTTTTGGTTTTCCTGGGAGAATGAGGAAAGGTCAGGGGAGCAAATTTGGTGAAGTGGGTTACCGAAGGGCAAAGGCAATTGATTCACCGATGTTAAGTTGTGCAGCTGTCTTTTTCTAACGTGTGTGAGGCTCTCCTTCACATCTTTTGTGTTTGTTAACAATTTCCCCATCACGTCCAGTTTATGAACTTGCTACAAACGTGGGGCTCTGCACTTGCTATGATCCCATCAGGAAACACCCTTGCGCTGCCGGGATGGAGTTTGCTACAGTCCCTATGCCTACCTCGTCGTCTACCTCACCCCGCACGTCAAGGGTTCAAGGGTCTGTCCCCAGCTCACTATCCGAGTCCAGACCTGCAGGAGCCCAAGAGCCTGTTCGCCGCTTCCCACTCAGTCTCAGCTAACCCCTATCCTCCCCAGCTTTCCGCGTATTGGCAGCGGGTGATTGCGAAATGCATCCACTGTAGCCAATCAACATCCGCTCACTGGGCGGGGGCGCACTTGGACTGGAGGAGAATCTCGGCAGTAGGCGGGACCTCCTGAGTGACAAGGACACTGCCCAATGTTCGGGGGTCGTGCCTCGCCCGCGCCCTCTTTGCGCCTCCGCCCAACCCTGGGCACCAGGCCGGGAAGCACAGGGAATGTCCGGGTTGGAGGTGGCTGAGACGCGAGCGGTGTTGCGGCCAGGGTGGTTGTGCGTTGTGGACTTGGGGTGGCTCGTTGCTTACCGAGATGGCCGGGCAGGAGGAACAGGCTGTAAAGTACTATACTTTGGAAGAGATTCAGAAGCACAAAGATAGCAAAAGCACCTGGGTGATCCTGCACCACAAGGTGTACGATTTGACCAAGTTTCTGGAAGAGGTGAGTTGAAGGCGACCTCGGTAAGGGGCGCAGGGAGCGTGGCCCGGGCTTGGGGGTTCTCCGTTGACTTGTCTATCGGGGCGCAGTGGCCCAGTCTGCGCCCGTACTGTGCGCATTTTTGTGTGCACACTTGGGACCGGTCCTAGCGTCTGCACCTTTGAGCACCTACGTGCTCCCCGGGAGCGTAGGCCAGCATCCCTGCCTCCTAAACCATATTATTTATCTATTTTGTTTTTGAGACAGGGCCTCACTTTATAATCTAGGCTAGCCCTTATATGGCTTAGGCGAGCTTCGAATTCGCGGTAATCCTTCTGCCTCAGCCTCCCAAATGCAGGGATTACAGGCGTGCACCATCACGTCCAATGTTGAGCTGTTTAGCCCTCGGTGCGGTCTGGAGTACTTGTAGAGGCGCACCTAGCTCCTGAGACCTTTTGCGGGCAAATCCTAGAACGCTCCCAACCATTCACTTTGTAGGAGAACGTGCAGTTACGTAAGGAATTTTAAAGGTCCCTTAAATCCTTGAGTTTAAATAGACTGATCCCTATCTGCGACTGAGGTCGGTCCACCAATGTTATTCCCGGTGTGGACTTCTAGTACCAGTCGGATTGAGATACCAAAAATGTAGGATCAAGCTAGAAGGGACCCTAGGGTCGGAGTTAGAATGGGTCAGTCGCAGACTGCTCTCCTGGGACATCCATGGACTCATGCACGTCCACAACTGTGCCCACAGTGTTCTGGCGGGGGCTCAGTGATGATCAGTTTCCTCCCGTGGGGCTTTGGCATCCAGGCTTATCTCTAGGTGGTGTGTGCTGGGAGGAGTAGGGAAGAGGACAGGCCAGGGAGGGAAGTGGCCAGTAGGAGTCGATCCTTACGCAATATTGGGAGTCATAAAATAACTTTGCTTAGCTTAAAGGATGACATTTCTTTGCTAAGGTTGTTGGTATTACATTTTAATTTCTGCTCTACAACCCAAGGGCTGTTTCTGCTAACTGCTTTTGGATGTATTTCATTGCTTTTACAAAGTATTTGAATGGTAACACTTTCCCACTCCACACCCCAGTACATGAGACTGGAAAGTGGTAGGAATAGTTCACAATGTTCTGAGGGAGGAATGGACAAAAACAGAGGCCTGTTTTAGCTGGATTGCAGTTTACATCAAGGGACTTTTGTTTTTCAGAGAATGCTAGTTAGAACAAAACCAGAAAAGATTTTTTTTAATGATCGGAGTTGATGTTTCTTGGTAAGACATTTTACTTCTTAGTTGTCATTTGGCAGAGTGACAGAAAAAAAAAGTATTCTGATTTAATTAGGAGTGACTTACAGTATGAAATCTGATCAGGCCTCCCTGCTTCTGGGCTACAGTGCATAAATGCCATTATAGTTTCTTAAACTACCAGTCCTGTGTGTTAACATTGGGCCCAAGTAATTCTGAGCTTCTTGTACAATTGCTCCTTCACCCTCTCTGATGGTATATGCAATTGTGAAATCGTAAGACATAGTGAGCACCTTGAACCTGTCTATTCAAGAGAGTTGCATTTGGAAAAGAATATTGGGATATTGTATAATATGAAGAAACCTGCCCCCCAAAACCATTCTAACTTACCTCGTACCTGCTCCTGTAATAAGGTCTTTTGATTCGTTTTTTTTCCTTTTCTTGGTCATTTTTGAGGCAGGGTCTCATTGTGCAGTTCAGACTGGCTTTGAATTCACTTTGCAGCCCATACTGGTCTCACAGCGATCCTGATGCTCCTGCCTCAACTTCTGGAGTGTTGGGATTACAGGTGTGCACCACCATACCTGGCCATAAGGGTCTTCTGATCTTAGCACAGTTGACGTTTGGGCCAGATAATCCCTTGTTTGTGGTCTGTACTGGTCATTGCATTACACTAAGCAGCTTCCCTGCCTCTGCCCCTCTACCCCTCCGTGTCCCAATACTGTTTCCCCAAGTGTGACAACAGTCTCCAGACATTCCCAGATGCCCCAAGTGGCACACAGTTGCCCCTAGTTGAGAATCGTTGCTCTAAAATATTGTGCACAACTTTTTAAGGGTAGTTTTTAGAAGATCATATGTAAGAAAGCAAAGTTTATTAGTAATAATAACAAATAATAAACTTGCTCAAAATCATTTTGTTCATATGAGCCAAGAAAGAGGGGTGGGTTGTATAATACTTTTCTGAGCATAATTGGGCAGAATAAGAACAATCTCTTCAATGGGTATGTTAGCTGAAAACAAATTCTTTTATCCTTTGTAAAGTTTTTAGGACCTTCTGTTTGATAGTGGCTTGGGAAGAGTGTATCTCAAATACAAGAAGAAGAAGAGCCTTGAAAATCAGACAGCCCCATGGAATACTGTTAAGAGTCTTGAATTCGGGAGAAACATGAGTCTGGTTTTGGTTTTGTTGTTTAAGGGTTTGGAGGGATCTTAAGGTGTTGAGCTTGTTTTCTCATTTCAGGTTCACTCTGTCGTCATGTTTGAGAGGTTTGGAACTCAGAAGAGGCCTTTTCCTTCTTTGCATATCCTGCCTTTTGTTGACGTTGTTTTTGCATCTGAATTGTGTGCTTTTACTTTCTATGGCCGTCTCTTGCTTCATACAGTGTCTTAGTTGCTAGCTTCCATCTCTGAGTACAACAGAGTTCCAGGGTTCCCTTCTTGAGCCCACCTGGGTTATGTCTTCTCAGTCAGACCATTTACAGGACACACTGCTAGATAGTTTCCCTCTTCCTAGATTTGTCTGACTTCCAGTATTTATTAGGCCAGTGCTGTTTACCTCTTACCTAACTTTAAATCAAAGAAAGAACCTAGAATGTCTGCCCTCTTCCCCCTTTGTCCTGCCCTTTTTTCTTTTCTTTTAAAGCCTCCAGAAATTTCATGAAACAGGTTAACTAAACAGTATTCTATCTTTCCCAATTTATTTAAATATGGGGGGGCAGGGAGATAGCTCAGTACAATAAGTGTTTGCATGGCAAGCGCAGGTTCCTGAGTTCAATTCCCGGTACCACAAAAAAAATAAAATAAATATGGGGGTGGGGTAAATCCATGCCCTCTCACCTACCCACAGGGACAGGTGTGGCTGAGGATTATTCCCTTCTTCCAGAATGCCTGAGGTTTTTGTGTAGATCTGTTTTCCTGATAAGACACTGTGACATATCAGGGGTTCCTCTTTCCTACGCACCGTCTCTGCCTGCTTCATGCAGTTATCATAAGAAGTGAACACAACAGCGTATGTTAAATACATAACCCAATGGCAGGTGCTTTTATTCATTTGTAAACTACTGCAGTGGGATTCAGGGTCGGGCTGTGGTTTTGTCTCTGCCATACCATACATAACTGAATGTTTAACGTGCTTTTTATGCTAAAGATAAGATGGGTGGTGTGGAAGCAGGAAAATATAAAAATTGTTTTTCTCAAGAGCAGAGATTGTAGCTTAGTTGTTATGCAATGTGAACTCTATCATCTTGAAATAAGCTCCGATTTGTTGTTCAGGTGGAGAGTTGGAAATCTGAGAGGGAGGGCGGGCTTATTTAGTAAGAGCAGTCTAAATAGCAGCAGGTGTTTGGCTACTTCCTGGTGTTTGCCAACAAGATTGTGATCTTTGTCTATATATTTTGAGCTTGGTTAGTTTCAATCCAGACTTCTAGTTTTCTCGACTGTATTTGTAAAATTGAGTCTTATCATATCTTTATATATTAAGTTGTGTTACTGATTACAGGAGTTGGGAGGGAGAATTATTTGAGATGAAGACTTAGTCTTTTAGGGTATGTCTTGGTTACTTTCCTCTCCTTGCTGAAACAAAATACCCAACACCCAAGATTAAGGGAAGAAAGGTTTATTTAGAGCACAGTTTGGGGAGGATTCAGTCCTTAATCAGCAGGCTCCATGGCAGGGTGGCACATGGTAGAGGGCAACAACAATTCATGGTGGGGAAAGACAGCAAAAGCAACAAAAGCACAAGGGGGGGGGGCGAGCAAGCCTCTTTTCCTACCTTATTTTGTATTGGGCTACCTGCCCTCACCAGCTCAGCCCTCCTCTTGCATATAGGCAGGATATTTACAAAGCTAGGAGCCTGGTCCCATGCTGAATCACTAAGGTAAATTTCTAAACTTCTCAAGGTGACACAAGGTATCAACCACTACAAAGTAGAAAAGGTGTTTACATGTGGTTTTCTAGAATTTGGGCGGCAACATTTATTCCATTTTCAGTAGAGCTATGAAAGTATCATTGTATGATATTAGTTATTTAGTTATCACTTTCACTTAAAGTCAGTGGGTGTTTAATATATGAAGTAGATACATCTTTGCAAATTTGTACCAGCTATGCCTCCTTTTATTTATTTATTTTTTAAATTTATTTATTTATTTGTGTGTGTGCATGTGTGTGGCCAGCTCAGCCCACCAGGGGGCGGGGCTGGCTGGCATGTGGTGCTGGGGGATTGAACTGCCGTCCCTGTGCTTTGCTAAGCTTGTTCTAAGTAGGTGCTTTAGACCACTGAGCCATCTCACCAGCCCTGCCTCCTTTTATTTTGAAGATAGAATTTGTTTATTTAGAACATTTTTTCTTTTATTTTTTATTTATTTGGTATGGGGTCTCGCTACACAGTAGTGATCCTCCTGTCTCAGCCTCCCCAGTGCTGGGATTACAGGCAGGCGCCACCATACCAGGTTTTGGTGGCCAGCACAGCACTCTTGGAGTTCCTGTAGTACCAAGGATCAAACCCAGGTCCTTGCACTTGCTAGGCAGGAGCTTAGACCACCAAGATATTTTCCCAGCCCTGATTTAGAATATTTTTTACTGGTTTGGGGATTCTGAGTGAATCTTAAAATATTCTTTGACCATGGTCTCTCAGAGATCAAAGAAGAGAATATTTAGGCTTTGTTCCTTTAATTCTGAAAAACACATAATCGTTACCATTAGTAAGATTGCTATTTTTAGGGCTAATGTACTAAATCCCATTAATTTTTTGCAAGAAGCTAGGGTTTTATTCTCATACTTCTAAAAGCTG